GACTCGTCTAAATTTAGATTTTCATTTAATTAGTCGCCAGAAACATCCATACACAGGACAAGCGAGTAATACTGAGAAAATGTTCATCAACCAGCGGCAGCTATCGTTACTGGGAAAGCAAGTAGCAACAAGGAGGTCAAACGGGGTTACTGGGTTGTTGATATAAAAAGCAGCCACACGGTCTGGTCATATTTTCTTCCCATGTGTTGATAAATTGAGTTGTTTAAATGGTATTACATGGGGCGCCCGGTTAGCTCAGTGGGTAGAGCTAACCGGGCCATGTACCGAGCCTGAGTCCTTGCTGCAGCTGCCCAGGGTTCGAATCCGACCTGCGACCCTTTGCTGCGTCATCCCCTCTCTCTGCCCCCCTTTCCTGTCTGTCTCCAGCTGTCACTATAATAAAGGCAATAAAAGCCCCAAACAATAGTATGAAATAGGCTATATATCTCATTTTCATTAAAAATGTCATTTAAAATGACGGAATAATAGATGAATGGATTGAGCCACGTCTCTGTAAAGTGGGAACAACGGTCTCTGATTTCCTGTTGCTGGGTTAGCCTGAGTTTCATCCATTTCATTTTCCTGAGCCTGGACATTATCCAGGTCCAAACTGGGTTAGCTTAGCTATTATCCCGCCCTCCCTGCCTCTCTTCTCTCCCCCTGATAGGGACGCTTTGGATCAGCTCGTGGCATATCTAGAAACAAAAGCATGTTTTCTGTTAAGTGACAAACTGGCATGTGTTTTTGGCAGTGAGATGACATGTCCTCTTATTGGCCTGTCTGTGTAAACTAACTGATTGTGTTATTTAGAAGAATAGGTGCTGTGTGTATTTAAGCCAGATGGTCTGGTAGTGCTGGATAGACAAGCTATACCACAAAGAAGGACCTCGCCACGGTCAAGCTGTCCCTCTGTGCTCCCTTTGCTAACAGAAGTAGAGAGAGCATCAGTCAGGTCTGGCCGAGTCCTTCTCTCAGTTGTCTTGGATTATGCAACAGTGTCGCCATTCTTCCACCAGCACTACAGTGAATACTGCTGATAGAGAATCACTCAACTACAAAGTGGGACTGAAGAGCAAATAGTTATTATAAGCACCATGTGGCTGTCCCTGTCACACAGGCTGCAGTGAAGTGGTTTGCTTATGGAGCGCGTGCAGTGAGTAGATGAGTGTTAATCAGTGTTGAGCTGAAGGAGAGCAGCTGAGGGGATGTGTTTGCCCGCAGGCTGATGAACTGCAGGATTCTCTTTGCTCAAACTGAGACATCAAAGTGAGAAGAGAGACGGGGACCAAAAAAAAAAAAATAGCGTATTCATTGACGTCACATTTTCACACAATGCCACATCCCAGTCCCAAAACTCAGAGGTGACTGCTGTGAATGCGTAACTGCAGTGCAAAGATGAAAACAAATGAATATCTTGGAAAAACTAATGACCACAGGAGTCAACAACAAGCTGTGAACAATGTGTCCAACGCAACTGGAATCCTTAAATATATTTAATATTGGGCATCTGACAATACTAAGTGCAATTATTAATATGAGATGAATGGATGTTTAACTGGAAGAATGTCGACATGCCGTGATCAGCTAGAGAGAAGACGTCTCACTCTGTTGGAGCTGAGACTATAGGTTGTGTGTTGTCTTATAGAGTGGTGCTTAAACAATCTTTGGCAGAGTACAGGAGCACACAAACCTGACAGCAGCGTAGCTTTACATTGACCCGCCATCCACTAATTAGCGACAGGTGATGTGGCTTGCTGCCGCTGACGTTTGTTGCTTTAACTGGCAAATGTGACATCAGCGCTGGCTAAAAATGAGAAGGGCTACCTAAATAGTATATATAGTATATATATATATATACTAGTATATAATAATGTATATGATATTATATAGGCTATATAATATAAATATAGTATATTATATATATACTATGTAAATTATAATATATATATATATATTAATATATATATATAGAATACATATATTAATAACTATATTATACGATATATACTATATATTATATTAAATATATATATATATATATATATATACTTTATATCAGCATATTATACTATAATGTAACTTTTTTATTTCTAGGTCGGAGCATGCATATTTCTTTTTCTTTGTAAAAGTGAAATTGAAGTCTTTGTGCCTTGATACCACGATTGATATCACGCTTCATTTTTCATCTCACCAATTAGAATATTTACATATTTGTATTTTGATTTAACTGTGATACATCTTTCCATTCCCACCAAATACTCACTAGAGCACCAAATGTGGATTAATTTGCCACTACAAATATTCCACAACAAACCCATCATTTCCTCCTGTTTGAGTTATGTTTTCTAAAAACTACAGTGAGCAGCTGTTCTAAGAAATGACTGAGCCCCTTTTACCATGAAACTATATATTTATGAGGCTTTAAAGATTTATGTTTTCAGAAGGAACCAGTGATCTTGGGGCTGAGTGACACAGACGTGAGGGAAGTCAGAGAGGGATGGGAGATGGAATAGTGCACTGTTGATTTTGGAGTTTTCATTGGATTGCTACAATAACAAACTATAACATCACAAGTCTTCCTTCTGTTAAACACAAACAAACAAACAAATGAACTATTATTTTCCAAACCTGGTTGAAGTCTGAAGTCCTTGGTTGAAATAGGTTATAGATTTCCCAGCTAGCCTCTGTTCCACAGGCCTGCTCAGTGGTTCTTTTCATGCCAGGTTCCTTTTCATTACCCTTTATGAAAATCTGAAACATGATAGATTTTCATTCAGCTTAGAAAATTCTGTCCATTTTCTAAGCTCAATGCGTCTCAGGTACTATACTGCTCAGTAAAATTACAATTATTATGTTCTGTCAAAAAGAAACCTGACCATTAGTTATCGAGTTGGCCTGTCAAGGTGTTGTTCATGGGGACATTTGAAATGGATTTTGGAGGAAAGGTCGTGGGTTCACCAAAGTCATTAAGACTTATCCTCAAAAATTCTCAGGGGGTTCATTTCTGTATTTTGAATGCTGTTCTCTCCTGCACAGTGTGTCTACTATTTGCCTTAATCACAGCCTCTTTCTCTGTCCTTCTTGCTTTTTCAGATGTTCCCAGCAATGTTGAGTTGAAGTTCTTGTGACAGTGGAGGAAAAGCCAGGCCAAGCAAGTCAGTACACATAATACATTTTAGCTTTCAGTAGTGACTTTGTAGTGATACGTAAGTATATCATAACGAAGAACACAGACAGTGTTACTGGAATTTCATGAGCTATGGTTACTTGATCTGACACCTCTGTGTTTATATGTATGCAGCCTGATGTGGGAAATTTGATTCTGATACCAATTGTAGTGAGGAAAATTCAGATTTCGTCAATATGACGACTGATAGTGAGTTAACTTTTTCTATGTGGATTTTGCACTGATACTCAAAGGTTGCTTTCCAATACAAGAAACTTTATTAAGGAATATTTAAGTAAAAAATTCTGTAACATGAGTTAAGATATACATTAACAACCAATTCTAGTTGACATTGCTAAGAGTTGCGTCTTCTGTATGAATTAATCACTTGAAAACCTTTAGTGTTGAAGTTAGTTTACTTTTAAAATTTTAACAGTTAAACTCACTGCCAAACTCAGACTTGCAGAGAAGCACAAGGCTTCTAATACATTTCATGCTAACAGATAAGTGGCAGAGTTCACAAGAGAAAAAGGTCAAATTTGACCTCACAAATTGTGTCTTTTATAAAATTGATGATTATGCTCCAAAGGTAGCTAATAGGTGTGACAGCATCAGTGAGCTTTGTCTCAACAAATGCCATTTTCTTCTTACACATCCAAATTTTCGTGGGCCCATTACTCATTGGCTCTATTAAGAATGACCTTTGAATGAAAGGCTTTTCTGTATCAGATACAGAGTTGGTTAAAGGTTACTTTTACTGAGTTTCTCCTGTTCCGCTGAATGTTTGAACCAGTATGTAGGAATAATTCAGTTACTAAATGCTTAATCTGTAGGACTTGAAGCTTAATACTCAATTGCTAAGTGAATATTTCATACTTCACATAGGATTTCTCCACTTGGATTTTATTATTTCAGGTGCTGTTTAGTTATTTTATCCTGTCAGGAGTACACGTGATTTGTTCCTCCCTACCTCAGTGTTCATTACAGCCCCACATGTTCTGTGACATGTTCTGTGACATGTAAGGGCAGAATTGAAAGAATCAAATGTATTGGAACTCATTTGCACTCCTATGCCTGATTTATACTTCTACCACAAACCTCCTTCCCCTAATCTGTAGCCTGTGGCTCCCCAGAAATGTAACGACACACGGCGGTGACGCAGACTGCAACAACTGTGATTGGTTCACTTGGGGTGTGTGTGTGTGTGCGCATGTCTGAAAATGGGATCCAACTCATGGAAAACCCAGATGAGTTAATAATGCAGTTTGAAAGTCCCTCTTTAAACACACAAAGTGTGTTAAGCACAAGTGGCATGCCTCGCTGTATGACATGCTCTTGTCTGTTTCCTCGTTTTCCTTCGTCCTTTCTCTTTACAGGCATTGTGGAGGAAAAAAGGAAAAGAGGAAAACATAAGACATATTGAGGAGAGAGACGAGGGAGGGTTTTAGTTTTAGTCGCCATTGTTTTAAAGTACATGAAGAAACTCAACACAGTGGCTTAGAGACCCAACCACCAACTAGCGTTTTATGCTCGGCGTAGAGTTCCGCCTTTAGGCCAAATGTTTTACCATTACACAAAAAATATCAACCTGGTGGCTCAGCACTACATTACCAACTTAGTACCCGCTATAACTAATGGCCATGTCGCCATGAAACATTCACATCCTCCATACTGCTGGTTTTGTGCTGGTTCCTCAGTCTTGTTGCTGATGGCTGGTCTTTGTGGATCCCAGAGGAGTGTTCAGCTCTACTCAGTAATCCATTAAACAGCAGATGCTCATTATGACCACAGTCTCCCCACACTGCTCCTCCAGCACTCCATTTATTATCTATTCCTCCCCCTCATCTTCCTCACCTTCAACCTATCTGTCTGTGTCTGTCTGGCATTTCCTTATGCAGTGCTCGTAGGCCTCAGACAGGGAGTGGCTGAGTGTGTATTCAGATCTACTACTCAGTTCTCCTGATAGAGTGTAGATGCAATGCGTGGACAAAATCGGAACAGTCTTTTGTTACAGCTCGGCAGTAATTGCTACCTATGTGAAGCAAATCTCACACGGCCTAGAATGCCACGTATTGATGTTCTGAGGTTCTTTAAAAGCGTCATGCAGCTTTCCATTGTTTATGACTAATGTACTAACAATTCAGACAGTGTCTCTTTGGGTTTTTGGCCAACAAAAGTCAATTTCAAAAGAAAGTTGAGCAGAAAAACAAAACAAATTCTCATTGTCCCGCTCAATCAGAAAATGATTGATAAAACACAGAGTGAATACAAGGTGAACTAAGCATGGTCACTATTATATCATGATACAATAGTATATTGATTCTTTGGACAACAATACGATATAAGTCTGCCACGATACAATTTTGTTTCAGTTCCGGGGACTGCCATCAAATGAGACAATATCATGCTGACCGAGAGGTCCGAGTGTAACAGATGTCTTGAGCAGTCAGTAACAGGTTTGAATAGTAGTAGTTGGGGAAAGGATAGAGGAGAGATAAAACCATTCCCAGCAGTCCAACAGGGCTGTCTGTGAAACAAAATCATCCCTCACTCTTGCTGCCTCCTTTCACACAAGGCAAAATCAAGTTATTATGCTTTTTTCCTGACTCACAGTTAATCCCTGCTTAAGTCGGAAAGCAAGTTTATTTTATCAAGCATGAAATGTGCTGTTCACTACATATTTCGGTCACCATTCTTTTAAGTGTCCTTAGGAAAAGAAAAACCCCAAACAGGCTACTACCAACAGGGATGTCGCCAATCCTTTGCAAAAGAGAAATTGTTAGAGAAGGAATGAAGCACTTTCTTATAGGTGATTTCTTATGGTTTATGATGGAGGCTTTATTACTTTTACTACTGAAAAATAGTAATAGATATAATAGAATAATATACATAGTAGCTTCTTAGGGCCACTAAAACAAGTTTTAATTTTGTCTGAATTGAATTATTTTTTTATTAATTTCAGTATGCTTTGAATTGGTACTTTAAAAACTTCCCTTGTGTTGAATTCAAAGATAGAGTCTGCTGTCTAACATTAACTTCTGTAAAACAAGTAACAAAATTCAGAAGATGTTGAAATAATCTTGAAGGAATTCCCTCGTTACAAAACAATAAGATAATAGACTTCCCCTTCCAGGCATGTTTAAATTTATTCTCACACAATTCGGGTTTATTCAGAAGCATGGGATTTTTCTTTTTTTATGAGCCCTAAAATCAGCACCCCTGTTCCTAACAATTACGTGTGTTTTAAAGAGATGTCTTTTTCAATGGTTTGCTTGACTGTCTCTTTATCCTAAACATTGAGTGACTGACTGAGTGCATCAGTGTCCAGCTGTCATTTGTGTGTCTGCCTCAATTCCATCCAATTAAATTTTATCCATCACCTCGGCCTTTTGCAAACATTTTCCATTCATTCCACTGTCTGTTCACATACACTCGTGCACACACACAGTGAGTTCTAAGGCCATCACAGAGCATGAATTGAAGCCCAAACAGTAGCTGATTCACTGCATGGGTCTTCAGTAGACCGTGGTTTTGTCTGGTGTGTGTGTGTGTGTGTGTGTGTGTGTGTGTGATTGCTCGCAGTACTCACTGCTTCCAGTTGCTGCGGGAGGCTCCTTTAATTAGCACTGCTAGCCAAAAGAATTGAGGCCTGCATGGGCACGCGTCCACACATGTATAGTTGCTCTACTCATACAAAGGCAGCATATTCTAGGTTTCTTATTCATACCAGAATGAGAGTGGTTGATGAAGGACCACACACAGTTATATACAGGGTATTCTCTCTGTGTCATAATGAAGGCAACTATGTTTGCCTGAAACTTTGATTAATTAATAAATAGCATTTTTGTTAGGAGTGTGTAGCTTTTTTTATCCTAAATTCTGGATAATGATTCTGTAAGCAAAGAGTTGATGATATTCATTAATAGATCATTCTTTAGTCATTTCGAGCTTCTGTATTGATGTTCTCTTTGGAGTGTGGCACAAAGGAATGTTTGATCACATTCTTTGCATTGGTACAAATGCTTTTTTTAGTGTTTCTATTGGATATTCCAAAGATAAATGAGATACTGACTTTTTGTGTATTTCATTTAACAACTTAGGGTTAGTTGGTAAGATTTTTGAGTTCTTTTTGATGTTCTAGCCATCAGTTTAAATTATTGGAAATGCACTGTTTTTTTTATTTGGTATGGCAGCTGGCTCTAAATATGATACTCACAAGCTTCAGCCGCAGTTGCTATGGAGAAGAAGGCATAAACCTGAAAGTGAACCCATTTAAACTGCTGAATGCTTTATTGTCCTACAAAGTGTAATCTTAAGCTTCTGTTCGTTGTTAGCAGAGCACACAACAGAGTTTCAAGCTTGATGATTGGATGTTTGTTACTGTAATACACTTTGGACATTCCACATACTTTCCACATATTTTTCATACTTTTTTTTTTATCAAAGCACCAGTTATTTTCTCACAGAATTGTTGATCTTTTGTGCTGATTATTCAGCCAGGATCAGTCTAAGCCTTGAAGAGCTCCAACTGTCTGTCAGCCACAGTATCTATGTGGAAAATGATGTGACTTTTTCTTCAGGCTGCCCCAAATAACAAGGCCTTGCTTGTCTTCATTTCATGTTGAAAGTCTGGGTTTGGACCTTACTGTATGAAGCTTCTTAGATTTTTTTTATCTAAAATAAACAGAGCTGGGACTTGTTTTTCTTATAAAGGAATAAAGTTTTAAAGTTTTTTCCCTTTTTCTTCTCCTCTCTCCATTTCTCTCTAACTCTCTCCTGCAGGGCTCTTCCAGATTTGGAGCGGAAGGTTTTCAGATCTGCAGTATTTTCCAGGTGATTATTACAGACCCTTTTCAATCTAGAACAGATGTTGTCCAATAATTCTTATTCAGCAATTAGTTTTCTTTGGGTATTCCTTTAACAAAATACTCTCAGTGCCATTTGGAGTGCTGCAGAGATGTCAGAATTGACCCTTTGTCCTGCCCCTTTTTGTTCTCTCCTATAATAACAGTTGACCGTGGTCAACTTTCTCCTTTCCTGTACTTAGATACAGTATGCTATATTGCCAGGCTTGTCTAGCATATAGGCACATCTGAAGTTAACTAATGTTAACTAACTAGCTAACTAACAAGTGATGATAGCTAGTGTTTTGCTAATATTAGCTAGTTAACTTAAGATGTGACTATATATATATGTCCCTTTTAATTTTTTTAACCATCTTCAGAGTTTGGTTGTCTTTTCTATATAGACGAGCCTAGCACATAGCATATCTAAGGAAGAGAATGGAGAAAGCTGACTGAGGTTTTGACCGAGGTTTGCTCAACTGTTATTGGAGCCCAGAGCAAAAAGGGCGGGGACTTAAGCCACTTACATGGTGCCTTTCTAGTCGACTACTCAATGCCCTGTACACTATATGCCACACTCCCCATTCACACACATTCATACACTGATAGCAGTGGCTGCCATGCAAGGTGCCAACTGCTCACCAGAATGGAAACTAAGCATTCAGACACAGTAATACACTGAGCAACGGGAGCAATTTGAGGTTCAGTGTCTTGCTCAAGGACACTTTGACATGCAGCATCCATCCAAATGAAGAGCTGCTTCTGGGACACTTTTTAAACACACTTCTGGTGGAATCACAAGCATTGTCTAGAACAACTGCGATCAGCTCCATCGGCCATGTTGCAACTGGAACAAAGGGACAGCTATAAGAACTAAATGTTGATTGAAAATGTACTTCTTCACTTTGTCCTTTTTCCTTCTTTCTTCCTCCCACCCTTCTCTGTCCTAATCCTCTAGGTGTCTTTTTCTGGGATGTCCAGGCAGGGTGGCCTGAGGGGGTTCAGCCCCGAAGCGCAGGCCACCAACACAGACACTCCCACTGCTGAGAGACTACACAAGCATCTACAGACGGACACATCCAAATGTAAAGACACCTGCACCGCTGCTTGAAAGAAAGAACTGACCAAGCAGCAAACAGCTCAGGCTGAACTTTGGACCTGATATTCAGGAGATCACCTGTGTCGTTGCCAGCTTTTATTCAGCCAACTGCCCTTTCTCCCTCTTCAATCACCAAATATTTGACATTCCATCCATCAAATAATCATCTATCCTTCCCTCTGTTCCTCTTAGCATTCAGTCATATGAGTTTTTGCACTGCAGAGCTAGAAGTGGAGAATAGGTAATGCATGATGCTGGCCATGGTGACCTAGTGTAAATGGCTATTCCTCAGCACAGCTCAGTGCCGGTGTCTACTGCTCGATCTTCCGCCTCCACTCCCTCCTCCTCTCACCCCTACTCCACCTCTCTGCTCTCCTTCACTGTTCACTGCTGCTGCTTGCTGCCCAGTCCTGCCTCCCCCCTCCAACACCATGGTAGGTGCAGGCTTGGGTGTGTGGAAGCTAATGAGAGGTGTCCGCCAGCTGGAGCTTCACCGCCTCATCCTGGCACTTATCATCTTCTGCTTACTGTCCATGGCCTTCCTAGCTTACTACGTCTCCAACAGCCCCAAAATCAAGGAGGCCCCACCTTTACCCTTCAGTGACTGTGGCGGAGGAGGGGGAATGTCACCCGGAGCGAGTACTGGGGCGGCTGGAGGAGGACCAGGTGTCCAGAGGTCACCGCTTTTCCTTCCTTCACGCCAGGGCCGATTACGACAGGTGAAGGCAGTTGACAATTCTAGGACGCAGCCTGTTGTTCTGGTGTTTGTGGAGAGCATCTACTCCCAGCTGGGCCAGGAGATTGTAGCCATATTAGAGTCTAGCCGCTTTCACTACCGGACAGAGATTGCTCCCGGTAAAGGTGACATGCCCACATTGACGGAGCATAACCGTGGACGCTACACACTGATCATCTATGAAAATGTGCTGAAATATGTCAACCTGGATGCGTGGAACCGTGACTTGCTGGACAAGTACTGTGCTGAGTATGGAGTAGGAGTCATTGGCTTCTTTAAAGCTAATGAAAACTCTCTTCTTAGCGCACAGCTCAAAGGTTTCCCCCTCTTTCTACACTCACACCTGGGACTCAGGGACTACCGTATCAACCCCAATGCTCCTCTACTGTATATCACCAAACCCAACCAGGTTGAGCAGGGCCCTTTACCAGGGGATGACTGGACCATTTTCCAGTCCAACCACTCTACCTATGAACCAGTGCTTCTGGCTAGCACCAAGTCCTCTGAGGTGCTGGCACATCTTGGACCCAGTCCTCTCCGGGCCCTCCACGCCACCGTGGTCCAGGACTTGGGACTCCACGATGGCATTCAAAGAGTTCTCTTTGGGAACAATCTCAACTATTGGCTTCACAAGCTAGTGTTTGTAGATGCCATTGCATACCTGACAGGGAAGAGACTGTGTTTGTCCTTGGACCGCCACATCCTGGTGGACGTGGATGATATATTCGTTGGCAAGGAGGGAACCCGTATGAAGGTGTCGGATGTGGAGGTGGGTGAGCCACACAAGAGATAACAAGTGATCAAATATTAGCTATAACTTTAAATAATAACTTCAGTTGCCTCTGACATTGCCTAGTGGTTGATTAAGAGATGTTAAGATGCATTCATACTCCTACTGTTAAGAGGGCTTCGGATTGTATGCCAAGGAAGTTCCTGTCTCACACTGAAAGTAGTTAAAGGATCAGTTCACATTTTTTGTACATGTTTTTGAATGCCAATGTGCCATGAGTAACGTTGAACAATTACTATGACGTATGTAAGGGATAATGCTCTCAGAGGTGTCCATTATCAGGAATTAAAGGACGACGGGAATCCATTAATTCCTGTTAATGGACACCTCAAAGAACATTATCCTGCTTTTAACATGGTCACTTGCTCAGCTACGAGCAAAAAATCTAACTTTATGCTAGCAAGATTCAAAGTAAATAACACTGCATAAAGTTGACAAACAAGACTAGCTAGCTATCTGTCCCCAAATCAATATCAATATCCCATCGTTTAGCTCATTGTTTAGCTAGTTAGTCAGGTTCACAATTACTGTTTTGGTTTACTCTCACTGCTCACTTGGCGTCTCTCTATAGAAAGTGTAATTATTTTTTCGTCTCTGCCCCTCATCATCATACTGACTGTCTGACACTTTCATGTAAAAGCATCAATACTTCGCAGAGTTACTTCTTCACAAATTAGTGTTACTAATAATGGTGCACATCTCGGGCGCCCGGTTAGCTCAGTGGGTAGAGCTGGCGACCCATGTACCGAGACTGAGTCCTTGC